GGGGGGGGGGGGGGGTACGCGATTATGACTTACTCTGGGTATTGTGTGTATCGGAGTAGGGGGTGGTCGGGGGTGACGCATGTGTTTCTTGCTTTCGGGGATTGTGTTTATCGGTATGGTTCTTGGTGGGATTGGCCGCGCTAGCCGTCAGGCGATTGCAAACGCACGACACTCTGAGGAAGCTGCGAGCAAAACTCTCCACAGCATCGACTATACGTCCCGCCACTGCTGTAACACTGCTGTTCGACAAATTTAGTAACGAACATCATAGGCTCAGAAGCATGTATGCGAGTGTGCCCCCTTTGCGTTGGGTGGTAACTCACGACACAATTTTGAGCCACAACAACATGCCTGTGAGTACATCTGTAGCCGCCAGAGAAGGAACCCAGGCCCACGCTCCGCCGATACAAGCGATCAATAGCAACTGATTCGATACGGCAAAGTGTCACCGGCGGCGGCGGCGGCAGCAAATACTACTACTGTTTCCGCCGCATGAAATCGGCAAAAACCTGCCGCCGACAGCAAGAAATATGCACGAACACGACGCTTGGCAATCACAGAGCGTCGGCGACAACTGCCTTGGCAAGAAACACGCTCTCGGCACCAGCTCACCAACCCGCACGTTGTTTGGGCTTTTAGATTTGTCCACAGTGTACGAATACCAGAGTAAAAGGGGATTTGGTCATGTGGTACCAATGGTATTCTCCAACCACGAGAAGTAGAAAACCATAACAGCGCTGCTGACACGGCAGCGGCAAGCTGTACTATAGTCCAGACACCGAGAGCGACACGGAGCGGCAGCATCTACGAAGACAGTTTGTGGTACAAGTACGACGTGAGTTGCGCCGCGTTTCTCCTTCATCAAGGAGACATTGCCATTTTCATGTTTCACTTTCGAAGCGGACACCACGTACGCACTTTGCCGTAACCGCCGGACCGTCGGCGCTGTCGATGCGATCGCTGAGCTTGGTGAGGTTGTGCCAGCACCGGGGCTCCCTAATCCAGTCCTCGAAAGACCTGCCGTCGAATCAGATAAGTTGGGGAAGCAAACAAGAGGCGTAAAAATACCACCGATACATACGAATATAGAGCCTATATTGTCTATCGATAGTTCTGGGCCCCAGTCTACATCTGAATCTTCCGGTACAAGCGAAAGAGGCGTAAACCCTCCTAGATCAATTCTTCAAACCTCGATTGCACTACAAGCAAGATTGTGCCAAAGTGGTGGTTTTGGGCACATCGAAGGCTTTCCGTATACATACGCATATCGGGCTCTTTCCGCACCCACTTGGGTGTGGAGCAATCGATCTTTGAAAATCGGTCTACATAGGGGGGGTGCCATCTCTCCACCTCTCTCTTACGGTAGTCTATGTTTGATGCACGAGTGGGAGTCGCACAACAGGAAGGTAAATACTGGAGTTTTTTGTTTTTTGCTCCGCCTTTCGTCCTACGGTGCCTGCCTTCGCCATTTGCAACGCGAGAACAGCAGTGCCCTCTCATGTTGGGGTTCACTGCTGTCCTTCGAAGAATGTACTTTAGGCCAGACTATCTTTGGATGCATGGCCGTGATTCATGGTCATGGTTGTTCATGTTTTCGCCCCAAGGGTCTTCTTCTTGTGGGAGTGAGGGAGAGTAGCACGACAACCTGCACAGATATGGCGCAGGATACAAGCACAGACATTGTCCATTCGCCACACAACACAAAGGTGGCCACAGGACGTGACCATGGCTCCTGCTGCGTCCTATATTATCGTCTTGCGGACAGAGGGCCGGGGGAGCATGCAATATTCTAGAAATAACTGCTGTATACCACGATAACAACAGCAGCCGGTGCAAAGGCAACAACGGAGTGCAGACAGCCTGGGGCAGGTACACAGAATACCATATGCACAGCGTAACCGATGATTCATACTGCTGTACCACACAACATGAAGATAATAGAGTCTAGAAGGTAGACTATGTAGCTGGCCCGAGTACCCAGCAACCACCGGTGCCGACACACAGGATCTATCTTTTGGCAGATACGTAAATCTCTCTGACCAGACCTCACGCTAACCTGGAACTGTCCGCCAGGAACGTAGATAGCATGTGCTGAACCGCTGGCACCGCCAGAACCTCCTCCGTGACTACGCGCCGAGTGCCACTGGAACATGCCGCAAGGGCATCCCGCACACCGGCCATATTCCCCCTGCTCGTTGGTATCACCATTCTCCTTCCTCCTTGTCTCGATAATGCTGTTCCTGCGTCCTCAGTAGATCAACGCCGTGACAAACAGCCGCGTATCGCTGGTGTGAGGATGTCGTTGGATGTCGCAACTCGCACGCGGTGGACGTTGTTTTTGCAAGGGCAGAGTGGAGGGCGGATGTATCCCTGGGTGCCGCTCAAAATATCCAGGGGGCACCCATAGATAATATGAAGATTGGGGTAGGTTCGGATATAGTTTGCGGATCTCCCGCCCTTGCGTGTTGCGTGTACAGAACAACACCACAGCAGACACACAATCCTCAACCTGCTTCGCATGAGAGAGCACCAGCGCCGCGGATCGGCGGCTAGGCCCAACCACCCACACCAAGGTCCGTCGGGCATGCTACCTCAGCAGCACAAGAAGAAACACGCGGAGTGGTGCAGGGAAAACGCAAGCCTCGCAAAGCTCTCGTCCAATCTGCACCGAGACGCACACCAAGTCTTGCTCTCGTGCACTAGGAACGATCTTCATCAGGTGTGTGAGCAACTCACCCAAAGAGAGAAAGGGTGCATATCGATTGCGGCGTGGATCGGGTGAGTCCTTGATGGGCGAGCGCAGCTAGTAACTAGGGCGAAAATCAAAATCCAAATGGGCACAAAATCAAAATCCATATATTCGTTACCGTGGAAATCTCAGACACGATGGATTCGTTGTTTCATATTAGAGAGTTTCGGACCCCAAAAAAAAGCTGAAATAAGGAAATATATTTTGAATTAAGCCATCGTTCTGAGGATCGTTCCTGACAGCAGTCTCGCCAGAACCCAAGGTAAGGAAAAAATAATCAGATTTAACAACGGAGGGAGGCTCGTTTTGTGGGAAATTTTGCCAACTTTGTTCGAAACAACACATCAGGCACCACACACACGCACACACACAGTCTGCAAGAACATGTCCAGCGGCCGCCCAAAGAAAACCCAGCGCCCAGCGCAAAGGCCCTGCAGTTGGTGCGCCACCAACACAAAAAGGGGGAGGCTGCACGGTCAGAAAACCAAGTTGGGGTTGGCTGTTGCGCGGCTTTAGGTCAGCAACACGCGCCCGTCACACACAGGTTGAGGCAAGGGGGAAGAAGAGCGCTGGAACGAACCGCGGCAACCGACGACGTAGTGGACGTGGCAGCACCGCCAGCAAAGGGCAGAGAGGAGGAAGAGCACGCAGTGGCCTTCTGGTGACGCGCCGCAAGAGTATTCTCTGCTTCTACTAGAGAGAGCGTGTTTGACTTCGATGTGCCCCCGCCCCAAAAAAAACACCCTCTCCCCAACGCTTGAAATGCGATACACAGCACTTCGTACAGGCCTGCCGGCCAGTATGTGTACTTCCTGTCGCTGTACTGGTGCGAGTTCGTGTGCTGGGGTTGAGGGGGCAACACAGACACGCACACGCATGCATGCACGCACACTCAACAGCAGTGGGAGCGCTGTGATTCCTGCAGGCCTTCCACTGAGTGCTGCTGTGAGCGCACCGCGTTTTTCACCTGGCGGTATGCGTGACGGTCATTTTGGTGCGCCACGCGGTCGCGGAGCCCGAGCCGATCCGTGCGGGCCGTCGCGTCCCGGGCCCGCGGCCCCAGGTCCGCGACCTCAGCGGGCGATCGCCTTCTGGGCGGCCTTCTTAGCGGCAAATTCCTCGATGGAAGGCGCCGTCTTGCGCGGCAGCTT